ATATTCTTATAGATTTTTTAAACCACGTCTCATGAGCATGGGGCCAGGGAGGGTAGAGGATAAATTGAGTTAAATTGGTAATGAGCTTCTTTCTCACTGTGCTTTGGAGGTGCTCACCTAATCTTCTGACTCTGAATAAGCAATTTGGCTGCCTAATTAGGTTAACCAATAACTTCCCTTTTGACACCTAGGCTGCATGATAATTTGGGGGTAACCGTGATTCTCTTTCATCATTTCTTTTCTAGATGCATTTCGCGATTTGCCTCTGGGATTAAAGCACGGAGTAGATTCTCACTATTTGCTGGACCTACCATGCCTCTTCACACACGTCTCTAAGCCTTGGCTTGTGCAATTTTCTCTGCTGGGAATGCCCCTCTTGGAGGCCTGATGCTTAGCGAAATCCTCTGTGGCCTTCAAGCCCAGGTGCATAACGGGAGTGGAAAGAAGGAATAAGCCTTTGAACCCTCAGGGTAAAACTAATGGCTACTTTTACTGTCATTCCACAGCTCCTTGAGAAATTAATACTAATAGCTCGCATTAATTAAGGACCAACACAGACCACATGCGTCACAAATGTTGTAGCTCATAGTAACATGTCAAGGAAAGAAGATGATATGCTCTTTCTGTGTGTGTGTGTGTTTATTGTGGTAAAACATATATAACCCTTTAAACCAGGGCTAAGTGTACAACTCAGCAGCATTAAGGACATTCACACTGCTGTACGGCCATCAGACTATTCATCTAACTCCCCATCCCCCTCCTCTCCGTCCCTAGCAACCACGGCTATGTTGTTTCAGAAGTGAGGGAACCATGGCTCAGGGAGGACGGGGGACTTGCCCAAGGTTTCAGAGCTGGACGTGGCACCGCGAGGATATGAGGCCAGGCCTCCTCATTGGACTCCAGAGCTGCTGCTCTTTCGACCCCGCAGTGGTGCCTGCTACCCCTCCCCTGTAGAGAGAGACACAAGGATGTCTGTCATGTCTCCACCCCCCTGCTATTCATCTAGACTCCTGATTCTGGAATGATGCCCAGCACACTGAGGGAGCTTGGGATAGATGGAGAACAAATTACAATAGGAATCTATAACAGAGACATCGTGTCAACCAGACCCAGTGGTTGGGAATGGAGCTCAGATCATGACCTTTGCTTTCTAAAAAACACTTACTGAGCACCGACTGTGTGCCTGGCCTGTCGCCTAGCCTGCGGGCCCCACCTGAGCATGAGAGGCCCGAGGGCTGGCTGTGCCTGACGGCCCTGGGGTGGAAGATTTGTGTTTCTGTTACCCAGTCAATCCTGTATTTATTTTGGATATTAAGCAGTGACATAAAAGCTGCTGACATTAACCTTCAGGGGCAGAAATTGGCTTTAATGGACCCCATAAAAGTTCTTATTGATGGCAGCTGCGTGCCGCATCACTGTGACCTCAGCAAAAGCCTCCACCACTATCAATACTGTTGACAATTACTATTGACTAATGCAAGGCCGGGCGGGGAGGCAGGGTGGATGTTCCTTCCCGTGGCTGGAAGTCGCTGGGGGTTACTTTGCTTTCACCTTTGGTCAGGATCTCTGAGAACTTGGTCACACATTTTGGTGGCCTCAACGGAGAGTCCAACACTTACGGATTCAAGTGGAGCTGGGCAAAGGGCTCAGACTATAAGATTGGAGAGATCTGACCTCCAACCCAAGCTCTGCTGACCTGCTGACTTAACCAGCTACGTAGTCTCTGCTAGGTCAGTTGACCTTTTCGGAGCCTCAGTTTTCCCATCTGGGAAATGGGAATGCCATGGCATCTTCATGAGGATTAAAGGCAATTACACACGAGCAGTGGCTTGACACATAGTGGGCCCTCAGGATGGCTCCCCCATACTCCCGAAAAGCAGCCACACGGTGAGGGGCTGGCTAATGCACCCAGGGCGACAGAGCCCCGTTCTGGTGCTGAGACCTGAGTTCTCATCAGAGAAGGAGAACTGGGGCTGGGGATGAATGCAAGACAAAGAGAGGAGGGCAGGGGAGGGCATGCGAGGGGCAGCAGCCAGGACAGAACCAGACTCTTGTGTAGGGCCTGGCTCCCACTCTTGCCATCTTCACCTCCTGGGCCCCTCAGCTGTAAGCTGGGGAGACTGTGGTGTGAACAAGAGCGCTGTCGACCTCATCAGCAGATAAAAGGGAGCCATTCCTACGGCGCATGAGCTGTCAGTATGATTGATTGTCACCGTTTAGACCCTATGAGTGTAGCTTCCTAGCTAGCGGCAAGTGGACAGGCACGCGGGCACCTGCGGGTGTCTGGGCTTGGGGAGTCCTGGCCTGGAAGGGCTGTGGAGGCCAGCGGGCCTTCATCAGGTTCACCTGCCCACCTCCTTCACCTGCCTGTTTTCCCTGAGTATAGCGAGGCTTAAGTGCTGCAGCCAGCGCTGAAAGGGACGATCAGAAGGAAACGGTGGCCAGGCCAGGGGAAGCAGGCGGCCATTTCCTGTCCCCCTCATCAAAGGCAGAAGCTCTTCAGGCTCCTCGACTCTGTCACTATCACCCAACAGAGGCTTAATTCAGCTGTAATTCAGCTCTCAGGGAATATACAATAATGTGGGTGGTGTGCACCTCACTCTTTCATGACTTTATGGAAAAATGATCATTTGTCACCATGGCAAGAAGCCTTCAAAAGAACAAACAGCCCAAGTCTTTTGCTGCAGAGGAAATTCACTGTCACCAGGGCTACAAGGATAAAGAATTTTAGAGCCATAGAGGCCTGAGTTCAAATCCTGTCTTGCTGTGTGACTTCAGCAGGTATCTTAACCCCTCAGTGCACAGTTTCCTTATTCTGTGCAAAAGGGATAATAAAACCTGCTTCAGATGGATGTTGGGTGGGGGAGATGAGATGCTAGAATCAAAGCACTGGTACTGTGCTTGGGGTCTGCAGCTCAGCAGCAGCTACTCAATGTTGCTACTGTCCTTTTCTTCTCGTGCACCTTCACCTGAATGTAAGCACTTTGAGTCACAGAACCCCAGATCCAGAAGGGCCTGCAGGTCATCCAGCTCAATTATTCCCCAACGATGTTCATCAGAACACTGAACCCATCAGACACTCTGAGAATAAAGGGTTCCATGCTCAGATCAACTGGGGGAATGCTGCAGATCCTTGGGGATTTACCTATTAGCATGCACATTTTAATAAAGGCTCTGAGAAGTCCTTCAGTAAAGAAATTGGTTTAAATTCATTCAACATAGTGCTTCCTACATTATTTGACCACAGAGCACTTTCCTGCTGTCATCCCCACCCCAACCTACGAACATTAACATTCTCAGATATAGGAAATGCAGATTTGGTTTAAACTGCTTATTTTATAGATGAGGAAACAGAGGCCCAGAGAAAGGATCCAACTTATCCAGTGGCACATCCCAGGTCAGTGATGGAACTGAGGCTTCCTGCCTCTTAATCAGAGACCATTATCTCTGTATAGGCCTCACACATCAAATCCCTGCTCTGGTTCAGCGCCTGGTGGGAGTGGAGAGAGAAGGGGCTGCTGGCTTGGCTTAGGCCTCGGTGAAAAGGTGGACGAAGGAGTGTGGATGTCTTGTCACTGCAGAGAGGGGGATCTCCTTCAGGTGCTAAGGTCACTGGCCCTCTCACAGGGCTGGTTGGGGGTCAAGGGAAGGAGACAATGCCAAGCCAGCATATGGCGCTGCTTCTCCCCTTCCCCCCAGACAGGTGCACAGGCTCCCTAGGAAAACCTCCGAGCTCTCCAGGAGGGGTGGTGGAATGGAAATTTGGAACTCTGCTGCATCTGACACTTTAAGGAAATACATTTCCCACCTGACCCTGACCTTACCTGGTCTCCTGCCTGACTCCAGATCTGGGATTGTGTTGTGTATAACCTAGCTAGAGCATCCTTTTCAAAGACTAAAACTGCCTAAGCCTTCATCTCTGATGTGGTCCCCACCCTGACTCTGGGGAATCCTGGACAGGAATCACTAGGATCCTGCATTTGGAGCTGGAAACAGTAGGGGGCACTGGTGCCTGGCTTGGCCGAGTTTTCACTCACATTGCCCTTCTCACTCTGGTATGGAAGCACCAGCAGACCTCCTCATTAAACTTCTGAGAAACAAAAGCCCTCTCTTCCCCTGGGCAGAGGGGCTGTCCCTGGTCTCTGCCACCCTCCCCAAGACTTCGCTGCCAGACCCAGTGGGTGCCTTCTCAGTTCTCACCTGGGTCCACAAAGCTGCCCAGAGCATGGCAGGGCACAAAGGGCAGGGAGATTGCCTGAGCAGCACCCTGCAGGGCTGCATCTAACCCAGAGCCCCTCAGACATCTGCCAACAAGGTCCCAAAAGGAAGGAGGAAAGTTCTGAAACCAGGTTCCCTTTCTTCCACCTTAAAAAGGAGGCATGTGAACTAGCCCTCTTCTTTTTCTCCCACAACATCACTTGGGCCTTGGAAGAAGGGCTGCAGAGGTGAGAGGGGGATAGAAAGCCCAAAGCCTGCATGTCCCCAGATCTGCAGCTGAGATCAAGGGAAAGCGGGAGCAAATCCTCAAGTTTTAAGTTACCCCAACATGACAGTTTTTCTTTAAGACCATTCTCTGACCAGCATAAGACCCTGGGGCAGGGTGCACCTGTGGCGACTGCCCAGGACTACTGAGCCCCTGGAGACTGGAGGCTGAGCAGGATTCAGGCAGCACCAGACACGGCTGACGCGATGGACAACAAGCTGCTGGGGACCCGTGACCACCGCTCCCCCACACAGAGGCACCCTGCAAGGAATCACCCCGTGCTTTAGGCACCCCCCGATCTGGAAACAAAGAGCAGCGACCCAATCTCTGGTGTGTCACCTGTGGGTGGGTATTTCGGGTGACTGTGCAAGAGGCTCTGACTTCTGACCACTGAGAGCAAAGCAATTTTTCCACCAAGGTCACCAGAGCCCCAGCGATGGAGCAGAAAATCAATATTGTAATGAAAAGCCTGGCCTCGAAAGCCAGGCGCCTGGCACAGGCCGCGCGGGCCACTCACCAGTCTCGGTGTTCTCGTGCTCCGTGTCGGTGAGCGTGAGGTTGGAGTTGGCCCGGCTGGACAGGCAGGAGCTGCGCCCCGACCGTGTGCTCCGGCCCCACAGCTGCACGGGGTGCTCAGGGGACAGCACGGTGTCGGCCTCCACGTCGGCGTCGGAGCTGGCCCCCATGGAGTAGCCGCAGTGCGGGAGGCCTATGTCTGTCCGGTACAGGGTCCCATGCGGGGGCGTCACCTGTCCCAGCCCCAGCTCCCGCAGGCTGAAGTTGGCTCCTGGGAGGAAAGGCAGGTGAGCGTGGTTAGGGTCTCCCCGCCAGACACCTGACCCCTCAGCCCGGGATTCACTGTTGTGTTTGCAGCTTGCGTGGTGTTCCGCGCACAGGCCTCTCTGCCTAAACGGCTCCTCGCCCCTCCTCCACCAGCCCAACTCCTCCACATCCTTTAAGGCCCAACTCATACAGCACCTCCTTTGTGAAATTCCCCCTCATACCTACACCCTGTGCGGCAGTCGTTGCTTCTTGCAGCCAAGCTCCCTCTGAGAGTCCTTGGCCCCGGTCATCCCACACAGTAGGACCAAGGGCCTGACCCTTCCACTGCTGCTGACCTCAACAGAGGCAGGGACCATGTCAGACTCATTCCTAAATGGGGCTCAATAGATGTCTGTTAAATTGATGTCTGGTCCAGGGAGGAGTTGGCAGAAAGCAGAGCTCCTGAGCAGGGCAGACGCCTAGTTGAGGAGATGCAGATGGCTGCCCCAGGACTGGAAGGTCCTTTCTGGCCAGGTCAGGAAAGCCTGGAGCATGACATGGAAGATGGGGACTGGCAGAGAGAAGTGGGCCTCACGCAGGCCATGGGCTCTGCCTTCCGCTTTCTCATGCCACGTGGGGCTCGGGACTGTGGTGAGAATCTGCAGGCTTTGGAGTAATCCAGGGAGCCAGAGCTGGGTTGCTGAGAGGTCTGGAGGGCTCAGGAAGGCCTGGCAATGTCCAGGACTGAGGCCAGAGAAGACATGGGTGAGGGGAGTTCACTTGGGGATTTGTATTTGAGTAATATTTCTCCTTCCATAGTAAACACAGCTTCCATGTTACCTGAATGTTCATTCAATGTCTATTCAAGGACAGCTTCTCCCATATTTCTAATATTCCCATGAGTGTTTTGGGGATGAGAAAGAGGGGGTGGACAAAGGCACCAAGGGCCATATCCCAATTAAACCACTGATCTGGCAGAGGGCGGGAGCTCAGAAAAGAGGTCTGCTGACGACAGTGAACTTGGAGAACAGAGGAAGAAGAGATATCCGAGCTTGGAAGGATTCCTGCAACCAGGGCCAGGGCTGAATAGGAAAGCCTGCAAAGGCAAGTGAGCAGGTCTCCTCCCCTGGTCCAGGAGGGGACCTGCCAGAGAGGGAGGAGGGGAGACAGCAGGAGAGCTCCGACCACAGTCGTGGGCATCACTCGGCAAATCAGCCCTGTGCTCCTCAGTGTCCCAGGCAGCTCTGGGTGCAGCACCTCTGTCCTGGCACAGAGCGGGTACTCCGTACAAGTTGTAAGAAAACAGACACGCTCTGGCAGGACTTTGGTGGATGGATAGAGAGAGAGGGAAGGAGGGGAGAAGAGACCACCTGGGCCGCTGCTGAAATCAGAGCTGCGGCCGGGGGGGGGTGCCCCAAGCCACCCATGCTCAGGTGGGGTTCATGCTGCCCCAGCCTTAATTTGAGGCTACAATCATGAAACAGTTCTATACTGGCTGGCAACTGATGCCCGAGTCTCGTCCCACCCAGTGCCCCCCACCTCTGCTCTGTCTACTTCAGCCCCTTCCCTAGAAACAACCCCTGGCCTCCCCGTGATGCAGCACAGCAGGGGCCTCTGAGCTCTGCTCAGTGGCCAGGCAGACGTCCGCGGTTGGTCAGGGTATAGGTCAGACGGATGTTAAATATTTTGAATATCACGCTATGTGCCATACTCCAGTCTGCCCTCCCTTTGTGCTCTCCTAAGTAGAAGAAACTCCAAATTGGAGCCTAAATCCCAATCCCCTCAGTCTGCGTCCCACCCTCTCTGCACACCATCCTCCCTGCTTGCCCCATTTACCTCTCTCTGACCTCCCTTCTCCACCCCTGTCTCGTTCCCCGCCCCAGCCCCCACTCATATTCCTGCCCTGATGGGCTGGCCCTCTCAAGGGAGGCCAGTCACACACTAGAAGAATGTGAAATAAACAGTGCAGGCTGCATCCATTTCCACGTGGCTTGTGTGCCCTACATGCCCGTTTAGGCAGCCAGACTCAGCATGAGTATGAGTGAGCTGAGACATCTCAGGACTGAGAAATGCAAGGTGAGGGATGATTCTAAGGGTTCCCTGATCCCTGTGAGCCAGCCCAGCCCCCCTGAGGTGGGAGTTTAGGAGATTTATTTCACCAAATGTGAGAAATCCTTATGATCTGTTTGCTTTATGTCCTTTTGGCCTCTTTCCTCAGGATCCCAGGACATGGGAGGACATACCACCTCACTCAACATCTAGTTGTGCAATCTTGGGCTGGTGCAATCACTGGAGCCTCAAAGTTCCTCTCTTTAAAATGGGGATGATAATCTACGACCTGCTACCCTCACAGAATTTTTAGGGATCAAGGGAGGTAATGGATAGGCAAGTACTTTGTAGACTACCATGGCCAGGCCTGCCTATGACATGGGAATGCTTTTGACTTATTATTGATAAAGACAAGGGGGGGGGCTCTTCTCTGCAGACTCATGTGCTAGGGTGACACACATGCTAAATGGGGCCAGTCAGGGCTGGCTGAGCTCTATCAAGCATGGGCAGAAGACAGCTGGAAGAAAGCTTTGATACCAGTTTGTCCCTTCCTTTCCTTGAGACCCAGAGAAGGCAATTCATGGTAGGCAGCGTTTATGAAGCACCTGCCCCATGCCAGGCATTGTGTCAAGTGCTTTATTTACAATCCTCATTAATCCTCAGGAGCACCCTACTATTAGGAGTCATCACTGGTATCCCATTGCCCAGGTGAGGAAGCTGAGGGTAGTAAAAATGGCAGATCCAGAATTCGAATCCAGATCTGTCGGTTGCCAGTCTGAACTCTAAACCACAAGCTGGATAAGAGCTAAAGACCCTTCCTCTTCCAAGCCTGAGAGGCAGCCTTACTAACAGGTCAGCCCTCATGTGGATTCAGTCCTGTGAGAGGCCTGGTGGGTGTCAGGCTATATGAGGGTGTGTGTGTGGCCAGTTCCTCTTACCTCTGGGATCTGGGGCAAATGATGCAGCTTGGCGTTGTTGTAAGGATTAGATAACAATGCCAAAACATAGCTAAACTACACAGCACACTGCCTGGCTAGCCCTGGTTGGAAGGGGAGCCAGTGGGGCAGAATCAGCCACCAGCAGTAGCCCATTGGGCATCACAGAAGGCTCACAGCTCTTTAGGCAAAAACAGGAATCACTGATGCACCAGGGTAGGGAAGGAATACCATGGCATGCGTGGGAATGATGAGTAGGTCTGCAGGGCTGGAGCGCTGGTGGTAGGGTGTGGAGAGGGAGGGGATGAAACAGTCCAGGGAGAGAAGCGGATTTGGGGAAAGGCCCTTATGCCAGGTAAAGGAGCTCAGATTGAGGGCAATGGGGAGTCATTCCCAACTTCACTCTAGCTGCAGTGCACAGAATGGCCCAAAGGGGCAGCACTGGGTAAAAGGGGCTGTGGTCAACCCTCCTGGAGAGATGACAGTGGCCTGAACTGGGACAGTGGCAGAGTGGGTGAAGAAGAGGGATGGATTTGAAAGGTATTTCGGAGTAGGATGGACAGGCTTTGGTGACGACTATATTCAGGAAGTGAAGGAGAGGAGTCAGGTGCCAGGATGTTAGGTCTATCTCAGGATCGTCTTCCTCCCAAGGTTAGGACGATGCTTGAGGCAAAGAAGGTGATTTATTTGTTGAATGGATACATATATGACAAGTAAAACCAACAGCTGCTTGATGTTAGTATGCTTACCACTTACAACACGCCGCTCTTCAGCAGCGGGAGACTACTCAGGCCCACCTGCCAGATGAGGACTGAGGCCTAGAGCAGAGCCGTGGGGGTTCTGAACTCAACTCCGGGCAGCCCAGCTCTCAACCACCTCCTTATGCCAACGGACCGGGTGAGCGTGAAGATGAACAAACTAAGAATGAGTTACAGGCAGGCTCCGTCCAGATCCAGGCGCCAAAAGAGCCGAGGCCCGGCGCTGACCCGCGTCCAGCCCGCCTGCCTGCTCACGGGCCCACGCACCCAGGTGCTCACCTGCCCCAGCCCCGCCCCTGGCCGCGCTCACCTGCGCGGCAGAACTCCTCGGCCTCCTGCGGCACCGTGTCCTTGACGCGGCCGCCATAGGCCAGGCGCGCGTCCTGGTCGAAGGCCTTCAGGGTCTCGCTGGAGCTGTAGGACTTCTGCGGAGCCTTGCCCTCCTCGCTGTCCGCCGACGAGCTGGTGTAGCGGCGCTCGGCGTCGCGGCGCCGGGTCAGCGAGCGGTACGGCTTTCTCTCCTTCGCGTCCATGGCCTCCGGCCCGCGCTCCTCCACATCCACGAACGGGGTCCTCGCGGCACGCAGCGCCGAGCGGTCTGGAGCCGGGGAACCAAAGACAGGGCGTGAGCTCGGGCCCCAGGATGCAAAGGCAATACCGCAGCCTATCCTGGACCTGACTGGCCCCGCGAGGCTGGGGAGGAGGGACTTCAGACTTGGAGGGGGGCGGGCGCCGTTCCGCTGGCCACACACAAGCAGAGGGGGCCCTGCCTCAGGGCCCCTGATGATGAATCCTGGCCCCTCCTGCTACTCCGCCTGCCCACCAGGAAGATGCCTCAGCCTCTCTTCCAGTGATGGGTAGCAAGGAAGTCGGCATCAAAGACCAGGGGACACTGATTTCCGTAATCCCTCTACATGGGAATCATGAGATTGTTCCCATCATGTCCCCAGCTGGGACAGGGCCTGACACAGAGCAGGGGCTCCCTAAGAATTTGTGAAATAAATGACCATGCTCAGGCACTGGCGTAAATATAAATTGACGTAAATCTCTTCCTCCCCAAGACCCCCTCCAGGGCAGGTCTCAGCCTGCACTCCACAGCAAACTCTGTTCATCTCCTTAAAGAGCTCTCTTTGAGCTATGAGCAAATGGGCCCATATGTTCTAACCTGGAAAGCTCCATCTCTTTACTCAGCCGAAGAATGGTCTGAGGTTACCACTTGGCGTCTTTGGGATTCATCATGGATCCCAAGTGTCTACTGTAGACTTCCTTGTATGTGTTTTCCATGATTCAGAGTGCAAACATTTCTGATTTTACTGGTGCCCCATAATAACCATAAAGCATATAAGACAACTATTTTAACTCCCATTTTATACATGGAGCAACAGTGACCCTGAGTCAAGGCCACAGGGTGCATCAGTAACCAAGCCAACATTAGTAGACTGACAATGCCTTGGGGTTGCAACTAGAGACAATCAAGATGTGTAGGTGATACTTTTTGGGACCTAGTTCTCAAAATGCCCCTGGAAATTAGTTCGAAACTGACCTAGGATACACAGAAATCAAATCATCTTACTGGGGCCCAAACCCACAGTTCTGACCTCTGGCTTCTTAACCTTCAGCCTCCTGGCACTGGCTGAGCACCTGAGGGGCAGGGCTGGAGGGAAGACCGGTGATAATACTTTCTACCCCAGGGTCTGTAAAACCTTCTTGCCTGCAATCCATAATTTGAAAAGCATCATACATTGTGGCTGGATACGTATATATATGTATGTGAATGCGTGTGTTTATGTGTATAAAATGGAAAAAAGATTCACAAAACCGAAGTGACTGCAATGATGAGCAACGTACTCTGATATTTCCTATTTCATTCTCGTTCACTTTTTAAAAAAGGCTGATTATAACTCCCTAAATTGACCCAGTAGTAGCTTTTGACCCAAAGCACTTTTCTGGTCTAATTTGAATGAGGATGTATGGCGACTGTCACCTAGCCTCTGTGACCTCTGGCCCTTTACCTCCAGCCCATCCCCCCGAGTGACAATAATGGTGATGATAATCTAGAGTAAGCACTATAGTAATGTTGGCCACTGTGACTAATAATTCATAATATCAATAATGGTTTCACAATAAGAGCCAACATACTGTAGTAACTAATACTTATTGAGTATTTACTTTCACTAATATTATATGTGATACTATTTTAATCCTTACTTCTATTCCGTAATATAGGTATGATGATTATCTGCAAATTACAGATGGGAAATTGTGAGGTTAAGTATACTGCTCAAGGTTACATGGCTCTTGATTGGTGGAGCCATCATCCTGACCCAGGGGTTGAACTCGGCACATGGGTACAACCACTCGATTTTGGCTCTGTAGGCTATGCCACATAAATCTCCTAAGCCCAGATCACGCCGCTGCCCTGCTTACGCCTCCGTAGCAGCTCTGTGGAGGCTTCGGGATAAATTCCAGTGTCTTGGTCAAAATGGAAGGCTATTCTTTGATCTGGCCCAACTCACTTCCTTCTCACTGAGCCACTTGCAACTTTCCTGGACATTAATTCTGCGGCCTCTCTATCTCTGTGCCTGTTGATTTATCATTGTACATCCAGGTAACTGGATGGTGTGTATCCACGTCGGCCTCTGCCCTTGACTGCAGTTCCTTGAGGACAGGCCTGGCATCCAGAGCTCATGAAATGTGTGCTAAATGAATGAAAGAATAAAATTACAACAGCTACTTTTTTACTTCTTACCAATCGTCAGGTGGTATAAAATATTGGTAGTTTGACTTAGGTACATCTAAAATTGAACTGAAGGCATTGCTTAGATGCATTCTTCTTAAAATTTCAAAAGAAGTCTATATTTGAAGTATGTGTCCACCGTTTATTTAGCAGCGGTGTGACCCAGGACAAGTTATTTAACCTCTCTGTGCTTCAGCTTCCTCATCTGTAAGACAGTACCAGCCTCTTAGGGTTGTTCTGAGAATGAAATGAGTTAATACACGCCCCTGGGAGATACTGTCACTAATACATAATGGGTGCTCAATAAATGCTAGCCATTATTATCATCAGAAAAAACCCACATTTTATTTGTAAAAGGCCCACTTCAGAAGGCTCCAGCTAAGTGTCAGTTATAATTGGAGAAGGAACATCCCCTCGGAAACATATGTTAATGAGGCCGAGACACATTTGAGGCTGTTAAATTGGTGGATGACTATGTCTTCTTATCAGTGTGAGCCTGCTGACCGAAGGCACTGTCTCCAAGGCAAAGGCTCAGTAACTACGAATTATTAAGAACACAGCCCTGAAACCCACGGCTTCCCTGTCACAAAGCAGAGGCAGGGAGAGCATTTGCCTTGCTCCCATTCCCTTTTTATTTTATTTTATTTTTTCTGTTTTAGGTTTAATATAGTAATCCAGTAAACAGTATATTTTTTTTTAAGAGAAGGAGGTCGGTCACGGTTCACACTTGGCTTGGCATTTAATAGAGGAGGAAGAGGCTGGGACGCAAGAAGTGATAGTGGAGAAGAGCTCCCCCAGGAGCGAGGGTCCGCAGTCCAGTGACTCGGAGACCTGGCGGGAGGACGGAGGAATGCTGGGGAAGGGACTGGCTTGGACCCACCCACCTCGACCCTCCTCTGTGGGCTGGGCAGCAAGGCACCCCATACACGTTCATGTGTAAACATGTCAGTCCCTCCCTACCCTGCTTACCAGGGGTTCCCCACACCCCAAAGTCCATTAGCCTGACCTTCCTGACCCTCCCTCTGCCCCTTCCCACAGCTCGCAGAGCACCTAGCTTCTCCCAGATGCACACCCTCTGTTTCTGTCCCTCAGAGCTGCTGATCATCTCTCTTGACTGTCACTGAGCTTCCACATCCCTGTTTCACTGGGTTCACCTGAGGGAGGCACCTGAGGGAGATGGGGCAGGAGGGTGTAGGCAAGAGGGGGCAGTGCTGCTTCTCTGCTCTCTCCCTGCCTTGTAGTCCTTTGCCTGCTCATCGGATGCCAGGTGGCCCCTCTTCCAGGCCTCTTTCAACATCCTTCCCTGCGCTCACCTGTCCACGCCCAGGGGGTGGGGCTTGGTCCCCGTTTCCTGCCACCACTAGACCCTGGGTGTCTCACCATCCTGACTGGCTCTCCTCACCTGCCCACACTTCTGTCCCTTCATTAAAGTGGGTTCATTTAAAGCATCTGGAGCGGATCCTGTTTCCTGGGGGATCCTGACCCCTTACTATCTGGTTGACTTTCAGTAATCATCGGGACCCATCATCATCAGAGTAATAAACCCACAGCTCCTGCTTACTCGGGGCTTACTGCAGGCCCGACGCTGGGCGAAGTGCTTGTGTTAGGTGATCTCATTTAGTACTCACCATCCCACACTGTAGCGGTCCCTCTTAACGATAAAGAGAACCCGAGGCTTACAGAAGTTAAGTAACTGGCTTAAAGCCACACAGTCAAGAAGTGGATCAAGAGCCGGATCCATCGACCATCCTTCCCACAGCCCTCCACCACGCACTGTGATGGAACGAGCTCCACGGTCCTTCTCCAGCCACCCCATGGCTATGGGGCTCTGGCAAGTCAGGTGTTGCCTTTGTTAGATGCTTCGTGAACTACAATGTACCTTATATCTGTAGGCATAAGGGATTGGAGAAGGACTACTCTCAGCGTCATCATGGTCATCATTATCGACGTGTTGCTATTTCTGAACCACAAATCCTGTAACTGCACACACAGAGCATGTGTGAGACTCCAGCCTGCTCCCGAGCTGTGGCTGGCTGAAACTCTTCTCTGGGTGAAGCCCGGGCACCATGAAGGTGCCTTCAGGGAGGAGTTCATTCCCAAAGCCCACTCCAGACAGACCTGTGCTGGGCACTGGGCCCGGAGATGAGCAGGATGGGAGCTCTCTCTCCAGGGTGTCAGGCCCAGGGGCAACCATGGGTGCTTTGATGAGCATGACCTGCGGTTCTACACGTGTCTCCTGATGTGGACATGGGTATCATTCTTGGCTTCTCTCTGGGGAAGGAGAATGGGCCCCGGACAGGAGAAGGGAAGAAACACAGATGCATCAAGCCCTGTATGCAGGGCTTTCCACACTGACCTGTAAGAGCTCTGGTCATTTATCATTTCAGAGAGCGGGCGACACGACCCGGGTGGTTGGTCAAATTCACACAGTCGGTAGCTGACTCTAAAATCTACATTTTAGGCTTTTTTCTTTTATACGGAGCTGGGCTCCGAGAGACCTGGAAAGTTTGAACAGGTCCGTGAATGTGGGGAGGCCCGGGTTGGGGATGGTGATCAGGGGATGATCTCAGATAGGAAAAGAGGTAATCACAATAAAACAGCCACCATTTATCAAACCCCTACTCGTGTGCTGGGTATTTTGTACATACTATTCTTAATCTCTACAACAATTGTGCAGGTTAGATAGATCCTCTTTTATATTTTCTCTTATTTACTCTTATTGTACAAATGAGATGATGAGCTTAAAGAGATTAAGGGACTTGCTCTAGATCCCGTAGCTTCCAAATGTCAGGGCCTAGATTTGAATCAGAAGGAAATGTTTAAACCTCATGAAAGGTATTATACACCTCATACCATAGGTT